CCCCCCTGCAATTCCTCCCTCTCCCTGCAAATTTGTTCAAAAAAATCTGCTGCATATTTGTTCAAAAAAATCTGCTGCATATTTGTTCAAAAAAAATCTGCTGCAAATTCAAGAGTGCTGAAATTTGGATATTCAAGAGTGCTTTTGAAGAGTGCTGAAAATTCAAGAGTGCTGAAATTTGGATATATATTCAGCGACAGTTTATGTTTATGCTTTTGAAGTTGGGACAAATTTATTACTGTCGCAGTCAAGTATAGGATGTTCATACATGGCATGATAGTTTTGTGTTAAATTGTGGTGTAATAGCTAGGTTCCAATATGTGTCTTCCATCAACGACCTTTTAGTATTAATTTTAGTGAGCCAACAACCCAGATTGATAACCCCAAAACCCCAATCCAAAAACAGAGCCAAACTCTAAACCCAAACGTCAAAACCCAACCCTAAAACGACCTCCAAAAACCAGCACCGAAAACCAATCCTCAATGCAAAAGCCAAAGCTAAAATACAAAGGTAAACTGTTCCAATCCACGTGTTTCATTGTCACTCAATATCCTCCTAGCCAGCAACCTAAAAACGAAAAATGGTTAGATAATCACTGCCTCATAATAAGGGTGTGTTTGATAGTGCTTGAAATCCATTATGCAAATGGTTAAAATCCAGGTTTTGTTTTAAAGTGATTGAAATCCATTTACGTGTTAGATAATCTGCAAGTGCTTTTTATTTATGTGTTTTTTTAGAGTGCTTGGAATTCAGTAATTTGATAGATAAGTATTTTGTTCCCATGTTGTTAGTGCCTAACTACTCTGATATAACTCTATACATCCTACATAAGTCCAACATAATCTGCTCTTGGAGTCTTGGTTCGTAACAAAAAGCCTTGGTTTTCAATGTCAACCTACACGTAGGTTTTCAATGTCAACCTACGTGTTGCTTGTACTTGGTATTTTATCTGTGTTATACTATGTTCTCTTCCATATTTTTGTGCAGGTGGAGCCGGGGGTCTCTTGGAAACAGCCTCCCTACTTCCGAGTAGGGGCAAGGTCTGCGTACACACACCCTCCCCAGACCCTACTTTTGTGGGATTCACCTGGGTTGTTGTTGTTGTTGTATCTCCTCCCAATAAATGTGATGCATTCATTCGCTTGATACGTTATATACATACATTTTACAGTTCTCTAAATTTTGTGTTTTTACATCTACTCACATGCCTTTTACTTTGATTGATTGGTAATCTGCGTCCGCTACCATTTGGAAAAAAGCCTGGTTTGAGAAAATCAAAACAAACAGAAGCCACTTGTGTGTTGCTTGTGCAAAGCCTTTGGAAATGAATGTCTTGAATGGGAGTGGACAAGAAATGGGGTCAAGCTGTTTTTTGAATAAAAATGAAATTGAATGTGCAAATAGTTACAGAGTCAAAGCAGAATCTATATATTTGGGTCCAATTTCAGTGATGCGAGCTTCGTAAAAGCTCATAGACCTTTTACTGTAAGTTGATGGTACTTATGTTGTTGCTGGAGTGTAGGAGACAAGAGGCTTAGTAAATAGACCTTAGATTGTAAAGTAGGTGAATTTAATTACAAGGGTTAATTGAAGTAGTAATGTCCAAGAAAATTAGTAAATAGACCAAAACGGAAATGAAAATCCAAATATTCTTCTGTCCACTACTCATTTGAGGGTCAACAACCTACCTCGTATTCATTTTGAATAGGTTTGGTTCAGAACCATATGTTAATTTTTATAACCTAAAAAGAAGGTATAAGCGATATATGTTACAAACATTCCATGTGACACTATCATTTGATACACTTATAAATTTTGAATATGGAAAAAGAACAAATTAGCATAATCAAAAAATAAAGCATTATATTGTCTTTGGCTTAATGATATCCCTTAGGCGTAAGTAAGGATCATAAATAATTTAATATTCATCATACGAAAAATAAGAAATATACATTTTCTCTGTTACTTCTAACATGATTAAAAATAAGATATATACTTTTGTTTGCAGGAAAGGGCGTGTGATCCATATTATTTTTGTAGGTTTTCAATACACTGACACTAAACTTCATTTAATAAAAAACTGTACTAAACCACCTTTAGAAAATTATTTTAGGACAAAAAGAGTATCTCTTACCTCTAGAAGATCCCACTTGTGTGTTGCTTGTGGGAAACCTGTGGAAATGAACGTGTTGAATGGGAGTGGACAAGAAAAGGGCTCAAGCTATTTCTTGAAATCGAATATGCAAATAGTTACATAGTAAAAGCAGAATCTGTATATTTGGGTCTAATTTCAGTGATGCGAAGCTTGTTTTGATAAAGGGAATGAAAGAACTCATAGACCTTAGATTGTAAGTTGATGGTACTTATCTTGTTGTTGCTGGCGTGCAGTAGACAAGAGACTTGAATTTTTGTTCATCTCCATTTTTTCTTCTAGGATGTGGGCTTCTGTTGGTTTTGATTTTCTTAAACCAGGCTTTTTTCCAGATGTGAGTAGATGTAAAAACACAAAATTTAGAGAACTGTAAAATGTATGTATATAACGTATCAAGCAAATGAATGCATCACATTTATCGGGAGGAGATGTTGAGGATAAAGATGATGAAACATGACTCTGTGGCTAGATGTAGGTTGACATTGAAAACCAAGGCTTTTTGTTACGAACCAAGACTCCAAGAGCGGATTATGTTGGACTTATGTAAGATGTATAGAGTTATATCAGAGTAGTTAGGCACTAACAACATGGGAACAAAATACTTATCTATCAAATTACTGAATTCCAAGCACTCTAAAAAAACACATAAATAAAAAGCACTTGCAGATTGTCTAACACGTAAATGGATTTCAATCACTTTAAAACAAGACCTGGATTTTAACCATTTGCATAATGGATTTCAAATTTGAAATCCATTATGCCACCTTTGAAATATTCCGTTTTGTTCAACTTATTTTTTTTGATCTGATCTGATTTTAATAAGTTCTAATCTGATTGGATCTGATCAGATTGGATCTGATCAGATTGGATCTGATCTGATTGGATATGATCTGATCTGGTCTGATTGGATCTGATTAATTATGATTTGATTTAAAATTTAAATCAATAATTTGATTTCACTTTATAATAACGTTTGAAAATTGTAATGACAATTCATATTTTAATATAAACAATATTTTTATTTTATAAATATTTTTTTAATAAAATAAAATTAGTTAATTCATATATTAGAATATTCATTAATATTATAATGTAATAATATTTTTATTTTACGATTTTTTTAAAATTAGAATATTAATTTAATATTTTAATAATTACTTCATATATACATTAGAATAAATATTTAATTTATATATACATTAAAAAGTAATTAAATTTACATAATCAATATATAGAATAGATAGTATTTTTTATTAAAATATCTCATCCTTTTAAAAGATCAAAACTTTAGAAACTCAAATTACCGGTAGCAATAAAAATGTATTTCAAAAGTAAAAATTAGATTGATATTGTCAATGTATTTTAAAAATAATTTTTCCCACGTCTAATAATTAAGGATTACTTTCTCAGTTTTCTATTAAACTTGTTTCTAAAGTTTTTTTTCTTTTTCATTTTTAAGAATAATAATAATAATAATAATTCTTGATGAGATCTAATCTGGTCTGATCTGATCTGATCTAATTGGATATGATCTGATCTGATTGGATCTGATCTGATCTGATCTGATTGGATCTGATGTGGTCTGATCTGATCTGATTCGATCTGATCTGATCTGATCTGATTTTAATAAAAATAAGAAAAAATAAGTTGAACGGAACGGGGCCTAAATCTTCGACAATGCAAACTACATCATTAAGAGTTAAAGGATCATTGGGAGAAGGTTCTTGATCACTTACCTCTTTTGATGTTTCTCCATCTTCAATGGCCATGAGACACAAGTTGGCCACTTCTTCCGGTTCAGAGTCTTCATTCCCGGAGTCGTTGTTCTCCCAAGAAATGTAGGGACGTTGCTTCTTCGGTGCCCTCTTGTCCTTCTCATTCTTGAGCTTCGGACACATTGGTTTGATGTGTCCAATTTCACCACACTCATAGCACTTGGGTGGAGTGTTCTTCTTTGCTCCCTTCTTGAGCATCATCTTCTTGAATTTTCGGACAAAGAGTCCGAGGTCAGTGTCGTCGCTGTCATCATCTTTATCATCAATGTTGTTGTGGGTTGACGTTGTTGCGGGTAGAGCAATAGACCTCTTGCTCCTCTCTTCAACCACCTTTGAGAGTTGGACGGTTTCGTAGGTAATAAGATTACCTCTAAGAGCATCATAGGTCGTTGTTTAGAAGTCACGACCTTCTTCGATTGCGTCAACCTTTGAACACCATTTTGGGGATAAGCTTCGTAGCACCTTTCTCACGAGTTCTCGGTTGGTGTATGTCTTCTCGAGAAGATTGAGGGGATTAATGATGTTAGAGAACCTCTCAAACATTTCCTCAATCTTCTTGTTTTCCTTCATTGAGAAGAGTTCGTACTCGTGAGTGAGATGGTCGATTTTGGCCTCCCGAACATGCGCGGTTCCTTCGTAGGTGACCTCCAATTTCTCCCACATTTGTTTTGCAGTTTCACACCGCGAGATTTTGCGGTAGCCATCCGCATTAACACCGCAATAAATCATGTTTATTGCCTTTGCGTTGAGCTCCATCTTTTTGCAATCTTCATCGGTGAACTCCTCTTGGGTTTTGGGGACGTTGACTTCACCGACTTTCTTCATCGGGACTCCACACCCGTTCTTGACTATCAACCACAGTTTGTAGTCATTTGATTGGATGAAGATCCTCATCCTCTCCTTCCAATAAGAGTAGTTGGTTCCATCAAACAACGGTGGCCTTGTGGTTGATCTTTTGTGCGTATTTGATCTTTTGTTTTCAAGAATGTGCGTTTTTTGCGTGTGTGAAATAAAAATCACAGAATAGAATGTTTGGATATATATTCAGCGACAGTTTATGTTTATGCTTTTGAAGTTGGGACAAATTCATTACTGTCGCAGTCAAGTATAGAATGTTCATACATGGCATGATGGTTTTGTGTTAAATTGTGGTGTAATAGCTAGGTTCCAATATGTGTCTTCCATCAACGACCTTTTAGTATTAATTTTAGTGAGCCAAAAACCCAGATGGATAACCCCAAAACCCCAATCCAAAAACCCAGATGAACAAAACGGAATCTAAATTTAATTACTTTTTAATGTATATATAAATTAAATATTTATTCTAATGTATATATGAAGTAATTATTAAAATTTTAAATTAATATTCTAATTTTAAAAAAATCGTAAAATAAAAATATTATTACATTATAATATTAATGATTATTCTAATATATGAATTAACTAATTTTATTTTATTAAAAAAATATTTATAAAATAAAAATATTGTTTATATTAAAATATGAATTGTCATTACAATTTTCAAACGTTATTATAAAGTCAAATCAAATTATTGATTTAAATTTTAAATCAAATCATAATTAATCAGATCCAATCAGACCAGATCAGATCATATCCAATCAGATCAGACCAGATCAGACCAGATCCAATCTGATCAGATCAGATCAGATCCAATCAGATCTGATCAGATCAGAACTTATTAAAATCAGATCAGATCAGAAAAAATAAGTTGAACAAAATGGAATATTTCAAAGGTGGCAATGTCGCTCCAATCAAAAAATAAGTTGAACAAAACGGAATATTCCAAGCACATGACCGGAGACGCATCCAAATTTAGGAGCTTAGAATATTTCAAAGGTGGCAATGTCGTTTTTGGTGACAACAACAAAGCAAGGATCATTGGAAGTGGCACCGTCGGGAGAGACAATGTTACAACCGTTGACGGCGTTGAGAACGTTCTTCTTGTTGAGGGCCTCAAGCACAATCTTCTTAGCATTAGTCAATTGTGCGATAGAGGTAATCGTGTCATCTTTGATTCTAGTAAATGCATTGTAGAACGCTTGTGTGACAATAAGACTATTCTTTGTGGTAGTAGAGTAGATAACATTAACATGTTTGATCTTGAAAATTCCCCGTCTATCTTAGCTAAGTGCCTCATCACCAAAGAGGAAGAAACGTGGCTTTGGCATCGTCGGATAGCTCACGTTATTATGGACCATCTTAATAAGTTGGTTTCTAAAGACTTAGTAATTGGTGTTCCTAAACTTAAGTTTGAGAAGAATCTAATTTGTGATGCATGTCAAAAAGGGGAAGCAAGTAAGGGCCTCGTTTAAGTCAAAGAACGTTTTTTCTACGACTAGGCCATTACAACTTTTGCACATGGACCTTTTTGGACCTTCAAGGACTATGAGTTTAGGAGGTAATTACTTTGGCTTTGTTATCATTGATGACTATTCGAGGTTTACATGGACACTTTTCCTTGCTCATAAGTATGATGCACTTAATGTTTTTAAGAAATTTATCAAATTGGTTCAAAATGAAAAAGATTGTCACATATCATCCATTAGAAGTGATCATGGGGGAGAATTCGATCAAGATGGCTTTGACGCCTTATGTGACGAATTAGGCATTGAGCATAACTTCTCGGCCCCCCGTACACCACAACAAAATGGAGTGGTTGAACGGAAAAATAGATCTCTTGAAGAGATGGCTAGAACTATGCTCAATGAGGCTAACCTTCCTAAATATTTTTGGACGGATGCCGTGAGTACCGCATGCTACGTGTTAAACCGAGCCGTCATTAGACCGATACTCAAGAAAACGCCCTA